GAGAGAGAGAGAGAGAGAGAGAGAGAGAGAGAGAGAGAGAGAGAGAGAGAGAGAGAACAGTTGCTATGTGCAAAGTTAGAAGGAATGAACCTGGTCTTGGAATTGGCCAGGTTCATGCTCTCCCTGCCCGCATGTGACACCAGTGCAGTGGGGCCTAGTGCTGGTGGTATGTAAGGTTGTGCAAAGCTCACACAAACTCTGGGCAATTTTGGTGACCGATCAGATTAGCGCAATGCCATGTGCTCTCTTGACACTCAAAAACATAGCAGCATAGTAGTATATTGTTATGATCCTGGCCAATTTCGAGATACACATCCATCAGATAGTACAATACCGTCCAATTGCAGAAAGAAATGAATGAACTTGAGAGGAGTGTCGTGCGAATCAAATCGTAGCTTTTCTAATGAACAAGACGCGTTCGGTGCGCTATCTGCCGCGGGGCGTAACCGCGGAGTTCTGGCGCAACTCGCGGAATCAGGTCGGGACATGTGCCGGCGAGAGGGGCATGCCGTGCCACAGCCACGGCGGAGGACACCATAGCAGTGAGGTGAGCCGTGGGTGTGGGCATGGTGCGTGACGTTCGACGCGGTGCGGCGAGTTCTACTAGAAGCGGATCGCTCGTGCGGACGCTCGGAGTCAGAGCACGGAACCTGCACGGGGGCAGTGGATCCGCGGAAAGACGAGGACGCGTGGAGGGTTGAGACGAAGCGACCAAGGAAACAAGAGAATTGGTGCACTACTGGGCGATGACAAATCTCGAAAATAGCGAGCGGACATAGCACGGATCGAAGCGGTGACGGGGATAAATGAAGCGGCCACAGGGATAAACGAACTAGTGACGAGGCCGGGGGGAGACGACAATTGGAGATCAGGCGGACAGCGGGCGAAACGGAAACGGAGACACTACAATCTCATGCTTCGACGGCAGGGACAGATCAGATTGGCCGCCATGGCCAGCTGCTTGAGGTGAGTTGAAATACTCCGAAAATTGGAACAGAAGGCTAATCGGAGGAAAGAAAAGTGACACGTGGGCGAGAAGTGGGAAGAAGTCTCACACGGCGCACGTGACGACGGCACTTGCATACGGACTTGGGCGCGAGAGACGGTGGAGTGCGCATGCAATCGAGCGAACGACGGGCATCAACAGGTGGGCGAGAAGTTGGAAGCAGTCTCTTACAGCGCACGTGACGACGCCACTCGCATACGGATGACGGGGACTGCACATGCAGACGAGTGAACGACGGACATCAACAGGTGGTCAAACGGGGTTCGGCTTTCAACGGGGTGATTATACTCCAAGCGAGGGGAGGTGGGACAGCGACGGATCGCTGAACGGGATCGCTGAACAGGGTGAGTGCGATCCCAGCGGCGACAAGAGGTGAGCATGTTGTATTGATGGAACCTGCTAGAGAGAGGGAGGCGTTTGGACATCACAAATGGAGAAGAGAACGCAAAGGGGGAGTGGGGATGACTGAGCTTGATCGAACGAGTGACGGGTTATAACAGCGTAAACAAGGAGAGAGCGAGGGGGAGAGGGTGGGGAAACGGCAGTGAAAAACCGATCGGGGGTGGGAGGACCTGCTAGGAAGAGGAAAGCGTTAGGACATCACAAAACGGAGAGAGAACGGAAGGGGGGAGTGGGGATGATTGAGCCTGATCGAACGAGGGAGAAGTTATAACAGCGTAAACGGGGAGGGAACAAGAGGGGGAGAGAGTGGGGAACGGGTAGTGAAAATCAGATCAGGGGTGGGAGGAGATAACTTGGCATCTGGCGTGGGGAGGATTGAGCCTGATCGAACGAGGGAGAGGCTAAACGGGGAGAGAACGAGGATCAAGAGGTGGGAGGGGATCTGGCGTGCAGAAAAGGTGGAACACCGCATGTTTTAAGCTTCGGGGAGGCGAAACACGAGGGTGGGGCGGCCGTGGAGGGAGCAAGGTCTGCGGGGGCCGAGTGACACGAGGACGAGAAGTTGGAAGAAGTCTCACATGGCGCACGAGACGACGGCACTTGCACACGGACTTGGGTGTGAGAGACGGGGGAGTGTACATACAATCGAGCAAGTGAACGACGTTACACCCGAAGCGAGGGGAGGTGGGATAGCGTCGGATCGCTGAACAGGGTGAGTGCGCACCGGACAGCATATCAGCGGCATCCCAGCGGCAATATGAGGTGAGTATGCTGCATTGACGGGACCTTTGATCGAACGTGGGAGGGGTATAATAGCGTAAACGGGGAGAGAACGAGAGGGGGAGAGAGTGGGGAGAACAGATCAGGGGTGGGAGGAGATAACTTGGTAAACGGAGGAAAAAACAGAAAAAGGGGTGGGGATGATTGGGTCTGTTTGAAGGAAAGAAGGTTTATAACAGTGTAAGCAGGGAGAGAACGAGAGGGGAAGAGCGAGGGGAAAGGGTAACGAAAAACGGATCAGGGGGGAGGAGACAGCGTGGCAGCGGGCGTGCGAGCGGAGGAAAGGCGGTGTGCCGCTTTTTGTGCGCCTCGGGGAGGCGGGAAACAAGAAGGGCTTGGGCAGGAGCAGGAGGCAGGGGAAGGAAGTGGGGAGGAGAAAAACGCGAAGGACTGGGGAGGAACAAAAGGAAGCATAGGTGAGTTTGGCGGGGAAGAGCAAATGTAAACAGGGGCTCGTGGGGAAGGGTGGCAGGTGGGGGGTGGTGGGGAAGAACGGAAGGAATCGCCGTGGGTCGTTGGGGGCTGATAAGAGGGGGCGGCAAGAATAGAGGGGAAGTAAAAGACGGATCGCGGCCAGTGACTGACGAGGAAGGAAATTAGGGAGGGGTGCGGGGGAGGGGAGCAGGGGAGGCGAGGAGAACGGTGGACAGTGCTCCTTGACGAAGAAGGAACAGAAGAAGGAGAGAGCATAGGGGAAAAAAGGAAACGAGACCACCGGGAGGGGGAGAGGAAAAGGAAGGAGTCGGGACGGGCGCGGTCTGCCGAACGGAGGAGGGCGGAGGGGGTTAACACGAGCTGGCTCCTTAGATAGAGGGAGAAGGTGACCACAAAAGTGAAGGCAGCAAGAAGGTCAATAGCGGCGGATGGAGGCGCCCCAACCAGTCCCTTGGAACCAGTAAAAAAACACAGAAGCATCAAAACAAGGAAAAAACAATCCAAGATAAAGGAAAGAAACACGCAAGTACAAAAAGTACAAGTTAAAAAAGGAAAAAAGGAAAAAGAGAGAGAGAGATTGCAAGACCAACAAGCCTACAAAGCACCGAAGCACAACACACAAAAAGAAAGGAGACAGCCGGGCATCAAAGCACAACACAAAAAAAGAAGGCAGGCAACCAGCACCATGAGAACAATGACCAGGATACAGCGTGCCCATAAAAGGCTGGACTCGATGCTGTTCTACAGTGGGGCGATGCGGCAACTGACGGATCAACATCTCCGTCAGGTGAAATGGGCCCAACAGAACCAACCCTCAAGT